CTAATGCAGAAGTTGGCAAGCCCAAACCTGGTAATCGCGGAAAACGCGATTCTCAAATAATATTGATGAGTTTTTTTTAGCCGCGTCACCTATAATGAGCGCATGTGTCCGTTGGAGTACGACTTGTTTGGGAAAATCCATCATTTAATGGGTGTTACTCCAGACTTTTTCGAACTTGTGTTAATGGTAGGTTCATAATATACGTAAATCAATTATTTAAAGAATCTCATTCAAATATTTCAAATTCAATTTTACAGGTTGACGCTGACACAAAGGTTTATCCAGACTCTCTAAGACTACTTGTCAATTGCATGTGTAATGATCATCTCATCATGGGCCTTTGTGGTGAAACAAGAATTGCAAATAAACGTAGCTCATTTACTACCGCTATTCAAGTCTTTGAATACTATATATCACATCATTTGGGTAAGGGATTTGAATCAGTATTTGGTGGTGTTACCTGCCTTCCTGGATGTTTTTGTATGTACCGCCTCAAAGCTCGTAAAGGTGAAAATGATTGGGTACCAATCATTACTAAACCGGAGATTGTTCAAGAATATTCTCAAAATATTGTTGATACACTTCACCAAAAGAATTTGTTGCTTCTTGGAGAGGATCGATTCTTAACCACCCTCATGTTGCGTAATTTTCCTCACCGCAAAATGATGTTCTGCCCACAAGCACTCTGCAAGACCGTTGTTCCAGATGAGTTTAGAGTCTTACTTTCTCAGCGTCGTCGTTGGATTAATTCAACAATCCATAATCTTATGGAACTTGTTCTCGTCCGAAATCTTTGTGGAACTTTCTGCTTCTCGATGCAGTTTGTTATATTTATGGAACTTATCGGAACTGTGGTCCTTCCAGTTGCTATCTTGTTGACATATTCTCTGATAATAAGCTCTATCATAACCCCACCAAAGCAATTTTCTGATCTTATTCCTTTGTTAATGTTGGTAATGGTTCTTGGATTACCAGCCATAACGATTTTACTTACTACCAGAAAATTGGTCTATATTGCGTGGATGTTCGTATATCTTTTAGCTTTACCTATATGGAATTTTATATTACCAACATATGCATACTGGCACTTTGATGATTTTTCTTGGGGCGAAACACGGTACGTTCTCATGTTATTTCACTCTTTACAAAATTGTTAAAAAACATACTACCGACAAACGAGTTATCTGACAAGTATATAATGCATGCGATAAAATTAATTGTTTATATGATCAATTTATATCAACGCATCAAGTTTATAATAAATTTTATGCCGTACGTAGTTAGTTACGACATAAGTTTAACTAGTTATGGAATAAGTCGTAACATTAATTACCGCGTTATAAATTTGTCAGAAATCTTATTGGTAGATAGTATGTATACAATCAAATAGGACTCAATCACGTGATTTTAAGGGTGATAGAAATGGTATTTATTGTTTTATTTAAATTGACTTTATAGAAAAGTAGACGGAGAAACTAAAGGTGATGATCATGGTAAAAAGGAAGGTCAATTTGATGCATCTAAAGTTCCTTTAAAACGTTGGGAAGACTGGGAACGCTCACGAATACGACGAGAACGTCGTAATAAAGAACGTCAACTACAGGCATCCCCAGTACCCCCACTACCTTATAATAACACGCAAACTTTGACAGTTAACGATAATACAAGATTGTTAAGAAATGGGCGTGATGATACATATTATTCCGAAACGGCATCTAATCATTCTTCATCGCCTGTACCAGAGGTCGAACAACCAACGCAATTTTATGATTACAATTTAACGCAGCAGCTAAATCCTGCGCAGCCGTATAGTTATCAACAAGAACAATATAATTATAATATACGAAATGATAGAAGGCCGTATGGTGATCAATATAGCCCTGATTATAGACAAGAAAAATAATGATTGTGTTTATTAACCAACAATTGTATAAAATTTTTTTGTTAATTTTTAAAACTAATATTTTATTTGCATTATGAATTTCTTGTATTTTATTCAAAAATAATGTGGAAACTAAGCAAATAAAACCAAAAAAAAATTTAGCATTTCGCATTTATTTTACTAGAAATATATATATTGACTTTTTGAACTCAATTAGATACATCAGCAACTATTAATATTACGAGGAATATTATGGTAGAGGCAGACAAAAGGGTTTTTCTTAAAAAAATTTTAAAACCACGCTTT